GAAGCACGTCCAGCCAGCAAGGATTTGCGACCATTGCAGGACGTACCCTTCGAAACCGTGGTAAGATTCATTTGAAACATTTTTTGAAGCGAACTCTATAGCGTAGGAGATCATTGAATGTGTTGATTCAAATGGGACATCCTGTATATGTACTTGTTACAGTTTAATATATAATTAACTTTGAAATAATTTTATGGAATTATAGCAATTTTCTGTTCGTTTTTCAAAATTTACTTTTCTGTAAGTATCCTAATACCTTTGGAGAAGGGTGTACACTGATGTCAGGAGATAAGTCTGCTATCAATGTTCTAGTAATTTTTATGTTGCTTCAGTACTATCTACTGGCAAATATAGAGACAGTGAAATGTTTTGTGATATGCTTCTGAGATTGCGAATTGTTTAAAATTGCGTGATAGTACGCGCGTCTGGCATCAAGATGAAATGTTCAGTCTCAATTTGCTACGATCTTTTATTAATCTTTCATATTGATTGAATATTACATAATTGCAGATGTGCATGCAGTAAAAAATTATTCGCAACGATTCATTGCTGCAGAATCGCTTAAAATTATATAATAACTAGTATTGCAAACGTCGGGCTTAAATATTCAATATTAACGTGTGAAAAAAATTCATATAATTTGTTTTGTTCGATTACGAACGATCGCAGTTATAAAAGTAATGATATAATTTCTACTAGACCATTCTATGATCAAAGATTCATTGAAATTTTCCGATGATAAGTGTATCTCATTAATTTGCTACGATCTCTTACGAATCCTTTTGTTGGTCGAATGTTACTGATTCTGGATACGGTTCTACAGTTCAGAATAGAATGAAATTCTGCGAAAACAAATGTTTCGAATGCTAAGGTAAATATGGAATCGTAAATTCGCAAAAACCGTAAAATTTTTCTTCTTGGTTGAAAATTAATTAAACGTAAATATATACGCGACGAAAAGACAAAACGAAATTATTTTATAATGGATAATTAATCTGAATTCTACAATCGTACGATACATATTCCAAACGTCAAGATGAAATGTGAAATATTAATTTGCGGGAAATTCTTTTAATCATTTCTGTCCGCTTGCAGAACAAGCAATTGGAAATGTAAAAATAATAAAAAAATTTATACGAACCATTATGTTTGATGGTACGTTGGAATTCTACAATATCAGAGATCCTGAAAGTCAAGCTAAAATGTATCACTGAATCGTTGAAAATTCATCAAACGCTGATGTAAAAATACGCAATTATTCGTGAAATGATGCTGTAATAATATAAACAAAGTTTTTCTCAGCGTAGGTATAACTAACGAGGAGTTAAAATATTCGATATTCGTTTGGGAAGAATTTAATTTGCCTTGTTCCCTGCTGATAAATTAATTACGTGTGCAAAAGTCGTGAAAAAATTCTACTAAAAGTATCTCGAATTAAAAGTCAGCTATGTTCGATATTTATTTGGCGAAATATTTAATTTTGTATTTCGTTGACGCGATATGAAAACAATGAATATGATTCTATTACACTTTTATTGTGGTTCTGTTATAAGCCAATATTTCCATGTTCGACAATAAATCGAGATTGTATGACAGACCGTGATTCAGAACAGGGAGGACATTCATTATTAATATGCGAGGAATTTTTGCATAAAGGTTTGGAACAGCGTAATACGAGAGTGCGAGCGGTTAAAGTAAAAATTGATTTCACAGTTTGCATTTATTTTAAGCGTCAGCGTCGCTTTCCCGTGGTTCTAATTTTGTTGTCGCTCTGTGAAAGGATCAACTTGCCCGCGAAGCATGAGCGGATCGTTTTAATAGTCCCGGGAAAGTGGGAAGCAATAAATCGACTGGAAGATAGTGAAATTATAACTAAAATGCCGTCCGATTATAGAATTAAGAGATCGATAGTACGTGCCATGGAACGGGGGAATATCGTGACGCTGTTAACAGCTGTACAAATCACGAAACTCGTCGAAATAAACAAATATAATACCACGAAAATATTGTTTAAAAAAATAATTCCAGAAAAATATTACTTTCGTCAACATTTGTGAAACTGAATATTGTACAGAAAAATTTAGAGATTTAAGAGAGATTTAGAGATTTTAGAGATTAATTTATAGTTGTCCAGATGATCAATAGTCATACAGGTATGTTTGCATACAGGGTGATAACAAAAGTGTTACTCTTTCATAGCGGATTATTAATATTTTGCGAAGAATATCAACATGCGTTATTTGATGTAATAAAAAATATATGTTTCGATTTAAAAAATCCTTAACGACCCTCGTGTGACCTTTACGTGTCCATAATAAGATAAACCTATTAACGTGAAAATGTGCTGCTCTTGAAACCATTCTACTTGTTCACGAATCATATTACGTTACGAATATTAACAGTCATGTAAATCGAAGTGGTAATATGTGGTGAATCAACCGCAATTTTGCAAGAATCTCTGGTTGCATCGGTCCGTTACTAATTACACATAATGAAAACAGGTTTGGATGTTATTCGGATTGTATCGAATAAATATTTATCAGAGACAATTATCCGAATAAATTCCTTTTAGTCGAATATTTTATTTGTATAATTCGAAAAATTCTTTATTCGAATATAAATTGAATAATTCAAATAATTCGAATCATTCGAATCATTCGAATAATGTGAAAAATTCGAATCATTCGAATAATGTGAAAAATTCGAGTCATTCGAATAATGTGAAAAATTCGAATCATTCGAATAATGTGAAAAATTCGAGNGTCGAATATTTTATTTGTATAATTCGAAAAATTCTTTATTCGAATATAAATTGAATAATTCAAATAATTCGAATCATTCGAATCATTCGAATAATGTGAAAAATTCGAATCATTCGAATAATGTGAAAAATTCGAGTCATTCGAATAATGTGAAAAATTCGAATCATTCGAATAATGTGAAAAATTCATAATTCGAATAGTTAGAAAAACTAATGTGGAAGAAATAAATGTATAAACTATGAAAAATCATTTTATATTCCATGATTTTTATCCAAACAAATTATTTTCCGTACGAATTCCAGTACGAATAAATTCTTATAAATTAAGAATAAATAAACGAATAAATTCTTATTCGAATAAAATTGTATTCGGAGAAATTTGTATCCGGATAAACTTGTATTCGATTGATTATTTCGTCGATAGTGTCGAATAAAATTTTATTCGTTCATCATTATCATTTCTCCGTCACTCGAATAAAATTTTGCCCAACTCTGAATGAATGTAGAAAATTGTCGACGATAATCAAACGAAATGAAATGAAGACGATCGTTCCCACGGAGAAAAAGAAACAGTTGAAGAAGGTATAAGTAGATGTGTATGATACTTTACACTGTGCAACTAATCACCCCTCTAAGCCGATTGCCGCATGAATGAGAAAAGTCCATCGATCAATAACCACCCTCAGAATCGCATGCACCATGAAGAAACATCCTCCTTTGAACTTTCCCGGAGCCACGGACCGAAAAGGTGAAAGATCGATCGCGAAAATTCGCGAAACCACCGAAGGGACCGGATCGTATTTTCCATTCCTGGGTTACTCTTTTTCCCCCTTGCCGCGGAAAATGAGGGGGAAAGCTGGTTCATAGGGATCGTAATGCTCCCATAGAATTTCATAAAGCGAGCGGCCGTATCACACAGACACTCGCCCGGAAAATTTGCAAAGTACGGGAGAATTTGTGAAACCGTGAACTATTATCTCTTTTTTTTCGAAGGAAGCTGAAGCCGTGGTACGCGTGCGGACAGCTTATTGGACTGCGGATTTTGTGCATTCGTGAGAAAAGTGAGCAGGTGCTGTTTAAAACAGTAGTGAGATTGATTCCTGTGCACTGTGCAAGAAATGTAAATGCTACTTTCGCAATATTGTATCTCAATTATTTCGCAATTAACAGTAGATTGTGAGGAGAATTTAGTTGTTTCATTTGTGGGGATTTGTGTAGCCAAAGTGCTGATATCAAATTAATTTGCATAATCACAGTTTAGTGTTCCATTAATTTTGTGGAGTAGTGTATTACTCTAGCTATGACAATTAAAAAATAAACGAAGATTTTATCTGGCTTCTGTCTCTTATAATTGGTATAGATAGGTATTAAGATCAACGATCTACTTATTAGTAAATTTAATTTTGTTGTTATGCCGTGATGTTTATCATCAATTTGATACCTCAAGTTTTACATGAATTTGTTTCCAACTATTATTTGTTGCACCAGGCATCGATCATTTTTATACTGAAGATTTTATGTATTTGTACCGAAAAAAGGGACAGACGAAATTTGAATTAAAAAGAGTAAAAGCATTTAACAATTTCAATGTATCGAAACCTATTACGGACAGAAAAAAAATGATTTGGCTCTTGTTTCTTGTAGCTGATGCAGACTACGTATTTTTATTTTGCCTAACTGTCCGGAATGTTACTTTTACCAACCACTGAATACATCGAGTTTTTCCTTGAATCTCTACCTACCTACACATTGTTTCAGTAGTCATTAATAATTTTTATACCGAAGGTTTTATGTATTTATACCAAAAAGGGATAGACGAAATTTGAAATAATAAAAGAATTAAAGACATTAAAATATTTCAACGTATCATTTTCAATTAATTAAAATTCTTGAGAATCATCATCGACTGAATACTTCAAACTTTTCTCGAATCTCTATCTAGCTACTGTTTGTTACAATAAACGCCACTCGTTAATAATCTTTACTCTGCTCTTATTAACGTTCCTTTCGTCGTTAACAATTGGATACGGAAACTTTTGCCTGCTGTTTGCTTGAACGGAAACGGAATATTTTAATTCTCTGCACAGAGATCCACAATGTCCAGCTGTTATGTCTCCAGCCACCCTCTCCGAGAAACAGACCACAGTTGGCTCTAAACAAATTCAATGTGGTAGGTGTGCAGGAATGCGGCCAGAGAATTGCAAAGGAGGACAAGTTTCCTCGACGAGTAGCTACTCACCGGCGCAACTGTATCCATTTTTATGAAGAATATAGCCGTCCCGACAGTCGCACTCGTACATCCCGTCGTGAAGCTCGTAGCAGAGCTGCTCGCACGGCGAACCGTGCCCGCATCGTCCTGAAACGCAAACAATTAACGCCGTGAGAGACCTTGCAACTCAGCGTCATCGGAAACCGAGTGAGACGCGGTCAGGAATTAACTTGGACAGAACCACGAAGTTCAGAGTAAATAACCTTGATTAACACTTTCTGAGAACGACAGGACCAGGGTTCTCAGATATACATGTAAGACATACCCATGGCAAGATGGCATGTTCACGGTAAGATAGGCTACGCAACTCTCATCTACCAGGTGAACACTGTAATTCTAAATTATGATCAGATAGAAGTTCTCTACGTCGTGTCACGATCGTAGTTTAGAATTTATTATGGTCACTCTTTAGACGCGTCACGCAGCTGTGCGAGACTCTCGCGCATGCGACACCAGCCCTCCTCCTCCGCATAGCTTATTTTGCCGCGAACGCTGGTCGTACCTCATTTCGAAGGAGTGGAGATAAGCGACGCATGCGCCGTGAGTCGCATACAGCGGCGTCGAGTGGGTTTAAATGAGATAGTTGTGCCAAGATAAAAAAAACTTTTGACGGGAACAAGATGAAGCGATGCAGTTTTTGTTTTTTCTTCAAAGCTGATGTCTTGTAGAATAAGGAAAAAATGGGGAGAATATAGTATGAATATTTTTGAATCTAGAAAATTTATGTTAAACCTGAAGTATTCCAACAAAATTGTGATTTATTCGATGCCATGTAGTTTTTTTTTTTTAATAACATGTTATACGTCATTTTTCTCATAGATTTTGACACGTTGATTTCAAATCCGGTCGTAAAATTTATCTGCCGTTTCAGGATTTTGGAAAAAAAAATTAGCGGCTTATCAAATCGTTTCAATGAAAAAATCACGAGATCGTTAGTTTTTTCATTCGAATCGATCTTTTTTTCAAAATCTTAATCTAAACTATTATTTTTGACATACATAAGTCAGTACCCTTTTTGTAGAACATATAGAGCTGCATCAACTAACATATACAAAAATACATGTGTGATTATGAAGTTGAAGCTGACCTTGAAATCACTGAAAATTCTGCGTTTGCAAAAGAAATTATTATCGCTATATTATATAACCGCTTGACCTGAATAACTTTTGTTAATAAAGTTCCTCAACATCTTCAAACAGAACAGAGATATTTAGGTGGCCTTCTTTAGCTGAGACGTTGTACTATATTCTATATATGTATTCAGAGTGTCCCATAATTATGGTAATATCTGGAAAGGGGTGATTCCTGAGGTGATTTGAAGTAACTTTTTCCTTAGCGAAAATGTAGTCCACGGCTTTGTTTACGAGTTATTTACGAAAAATAGTGACCGATAAGAGGCGAGATCAGCTGGCGCGAGTCGGCCGAGCCAACGGCGCCAGCGGTCGAGCGGTCGAATCCCAGCTCAGCGGGCGCGAGGTGGCGGAGCCAGCGGCGCCAGCGGTCGAGCAGTCGAATCCCAGCTCAGCTGGCGTGAGTCGGCCGAGCCAACGGCGCCAGCGGTCGAGGCGGTCGAATCCCAGCTCAGCTAGCGCGAGGCGGCCGAGCCAGCGGTCGAGCGGTCGAATCCCAGTTCAGCTGTCGCGCGGCGGCCGAGCCAATGAGCGGAACTGGGCTTCGACCATTTGTTGACTCGGCTTCTTATTGGTCATTGTTTTTCATTAATAACTCGTAAACAAAGCGGCGGATTGTATTTTCGCTCAGGAAAAAGTTACTTCAAATCACCTCAGGAATCACCCTTTTCCGACTGTTGACATAATTTTGTGACATCATGTAAATACACTGTATACACTGTACACTCTATAAACTATACAGTATATAATACTTGGTCTCGGAAACGATTTCTTAACTGGAAAAATGATATCCTCTTTCTTTCGACTTATTTTTACACGTATAATCGTCCCTATTTCGATTCCACAACCAGTTATTGGCCGTCTTATGTAAAGTGTCTGTAGCAGATCTCGATCTTAAGAATTAAATGCCGAGTAGACCCAGCAGATCTTCGAGGAGCCGAACAATTTATCGAAACCGTCGCCGCGAGCGGCTAGGCAACCGCGAGTTACGACAGCCGCCTGGGTGCTTAATGAATGCTGGCGGGCGTCAGGCGGCGAGTTTTAATTAAGAGTGAACCGGTACGGAAGCAGGCTGGCCTGACGATCGACACCTGCCCATTCCTGGACCTGGGGAATGTTTAAATAAATTATGTCGCGGTCGGCGGCCCGCGGCACGGCTCTAAATAACGCTGTCTGCGTATTCGTTCCGTTCGCATCTTCTTTGTCTGTTATTTGAACTGAGGAGGTTTATCATATATTTGTTATAGCGACTGTACCAATGAAGAAAATGGATCCTGTCCATTTTTTTTTCCAATCCTGTGGAAATTGTTAACGCAGGTTCCGTCGACCATAATTCATCAAACTTCAAGGACAATAACTTTGATCGACAACGGACTTCATCGACGTGCAATTACACCGAAGCCAATTGTGATCGTCTGTGACGTCGATCAATGACCATATTGATAATTAGAGTGAGGATTTGTACGTAAAATAAAAATTCACGGTAAATTTAATTGCGAGGAGCGAGTGCAAAATAGAAATGTATTTCTTTCGTTAATGATTTTAATAAGTCAGTGGACGCGTTCCGCTCGGTTCTTCTTTATCTGTTATTTGTACCGAGAAGATTTATCATTTATTTATTCATTTCCTAATTAACCATTAGCTATAAAAGTACAGAGGTCTGAAATGACTTAATACAGAGTATCAAATGAGTAAAAAGGAAAGAAAAATAAGATAACCGCAAATCCTTAAATTAATGTGATAAATCTCTACGGACCATAATAACGTTGCGAAATTCTATAAAATAATACGCCTTAAGATCGGTTTGGAAAAGTGTAGTGGAGGATTGTAAAGAAATTTATGGATGAACGCAGACTATTTACAATAGAGAAAACACACACTTATTTATTTACTTACGAATAAAATCATCATTCGAATGAAATTTTATTCGAACAACGTTTCGACTAATCTCTTCGAGTAAACTTTTATTGGTATAATCTTCGAACAAAAGCTGCGTAATAAAATGTTATTCGAATAGCGAGCAACTGGCTGCGGTTGTAACAGTTTAAATATCGACGATTTGTCGGAAACTGGAAATTTAGTGGAGGTATTCCGAAGCGGCTGCGTGACAAAACCTATCGATTTTTGACCCTCTGAATAGGAATATTCGCTTAAGGCGACTCTAAAATGCATGGTCGACAGGGTGAACGGCTTAAGACGGTCACTATCGTCGACGGAGGAGGCTGCCGGCGGCAATCATGCCGGAGCGGACGGATGGTAAGAGGATATAGAGCTTGCCGTTACGAGCACCAGGAAATTGTAATCCTGCAGGAAGTTCGCGGTTAGGCGTGAATTATTCCGGGGAGCCGGTCGGTCGCTTTGTCGATCGGCCGTCGCGTCGCGGCGCGGCGCGATCCTCGAAGCTCTTTCGCGCGGAGCGAATCGCACGATAGCGGACGAGAACGGGTGAGAACGGACGAAAACGTCGAAAGGAGCGACGCTGAGTCAGCGTTCCGGCCGTGGAATAATTCAAAGATAAATGAACCGCTTCCTCTTGGCCGGGATTCCCGAAGTTACGGCTAAAAACGGACAGTGCTTTACCATTCCAAGAAATGATCACCGTTTAACCGCTAACGCAATGAACGTCAGGCCGCCGGGCTTGGATGCAATTATTAACTCCGCCGGATTTAATTATAGGCGCCTCTGCGAATCGGGAATTATATTTAAAATAATTCATTCTGTCCGCGGAATTGAACTGTTGGCAGCTTCCTGCCCGTCCGTATTGTTGTTTCAGCGAAATATCCCGGTAGTATCGTAATTACTAAACAACGACTACTCGTTTTCCTACGCGATCAATGGTCCGCGCGGTTCGTTTGTTCCCGAGTTCTGACTTTCATCGGGTTCTCTTCATTTGTCGATGCTTTATTGTCTGTCCGGTGTTCGTCGTCTATTTTCAGTTGGTCGAGTAAGAATGGAATCAAGTTTTACACGTTGAATGCCAAGGGGGTCACCGGTGACCGGCACTTAAGGGCCCGGGTCGCCGCACACTATGACGAGCCACACATACAAGAAAACCATATACGTATATTAGTTTTAGGGGTTTCTATCGACCAAAACTGACGCTTTAATATCGAAGTATGCAGTTCACAAGTGGAAAATTTAGATTCCGGAAAGACTTCGGTTGTAGAAATATCCGTTTTGCAGTTATTGCGGAGATATTTGCAATATTCGGCCAGAGTGGTGTCAATCTCACGAGCATGACGTCACAAGATGGCCGCCGCTAACAGTTTTTCATAAATATCGAGAGATATAGAGCTCGAATCGAAAATTCACAACCGAAGTCCAGTAGATAAGGCACGTACAAAGACGGTTATGTCAAGATTATGTCAAGGTTATGTTATATACCTGACGGTTGAGCTCGCTGTGGTGCAGCTTGTTGGTTGGAAGAGAACTGTGACGCTAGTAGTGACGCCCAGTCTTTCCGGAATCTAAATTTTCCACTTGTGAACTGCATACTTCGATATTAAAGCGTCAGTTTTGGTCGATAGACACCCCTAAAACTAATATACGTATATGGTTTTCTTGTATGTGTGGCTCGTCATAGTGTGCGGCGACCCGGGCCCTTAACCTGGCGGTGACGCCATGGGGGCCACCGGTGACCGGCGCGCCCAAATTGATAGAAATATATATAATTTAAAACAAATGCCAATATCTAAAATTTTGTATCATTACCATCGTCAATTCAAACAGTGACCCCTGTCGCAATTAACACGTCAAACATGGTTATACACTGTAACTTATCTATTGCAGATAATATTTCAACATTATATGTATCACATAAAAGAAAATTCATCGTGGCGCCACGGACAATTTCTGTAAAACCGGCGTGGCATTCAACGTGTTAATAGAGAAGACCTCCACGTAACACGAACCTCTACAACGCGCCAAAAAGGTTTACACAATGCGTCGTATAATGAA